TTTCACAACGTTTAATAAACGCTGCTAAAGACGAACTTTTCGCAACGTTTATTAAACGTTGCGAAAATGGTCTTTTGCAATTTTTAATAAACGCTGCAAAAGAAAAACGTTTTGGCAACGTTTTATAAATGCTGCAAAAAATAAAATAAAATTTGTAATACTAAAAAAACGCTGCAAAAAGGCAACATTAGCAACATTCACTTAAAAAATGTTGCAAAAAGTCAATTTTGTTAAGCAATGGCAACATTCACGTATTAGAATGTTGCGGTAGACCCCTCTAGCAATATTTAACCACTGAATGTTGCAATTTATGTGCTGCAAATACACAATTTTGGTGTAGTGCGTAAAAAAACATACGCTAGGAGTGAAAAAAATAAAAAATGAAAAAACACAAAAAAGGGAGAAGTAAGGAGTTTTGTTCCATCTTCGTGCTTAGGCACTGCTTTTTAAAACACTAAATTAAGTTGATTTGGATGGAAATTAGAAATAATAAAATTTAGGGAATATAGAGGAGCTTCGAACCAGTTCAAGTCGTAAGTTCTAACATCAACAGACACAATTATAGTTGATATTTTCGTTGAAGTTAAATGGACAAGTATTTTCTGCAAGCATAAATAGAAGGAACTGATTATTCCATCTCAGTAATCAAGTCAAAGTCAATGGAAATAGAAAGAGGAATAATGAAAATAACAAAGACTAGTCAGCATTGTTCTTTTTATATTTCTCACATTGATGATTGGGATGTCTAACCATATGAATTAAAACGATGGTACTAGTAGGGACTGAGCAGGTACGTCAAAAATGTCAATCGCCATAATGATAATAGCTCATTTGTCTGAGTCAAGAAACTAAGGTGTGTAGGAGCGGACCTAGGGGGTTCGGGTGTCAAGTGACGTCCAACTTTAAATTTTCTTTTTTTAAAATAAAAATAAAGTCATGTTTAAAATCGATTGAAAATTTAATCTACATCAAAATTAACAATTAATTTTAATAATTTATTTGATAGAATCCATAACTCTTTTAACTTTCATTAAAATTTACTAAAAAGTTGTTTTTAATCTCCACCAAATAGGAGCAAAATCACAATAAATTTGATTTTTTCTCTTTTCTCTTACTATCTCTTCTTCTTTTCTTCACACCTTTTAACAAAATCTTAATCATTTTAATTTTTTAAAATTTGTATATAATTTCTCTACAAATTATCATATTTACTACAAATCTTCAATTTCCAAACAAAATTTTAAGTAAATAGAACCTAAATGTGCATTTTCTCCTATCAAATTGTGTATATAGAATGTATGTATTATATTCAATTTGACTTATATTTAACGAATTGTGTTTATTTGATCGATTATTAGTATTAAATATTAGTTATATATCTTTCCTTTCGATCACTTGAATCGTTGTTTGTATCAACTACATTGTAAGATTTATAAACGTAAATATGCACATTCTTGTGATGAACAAAATATTAATAAAATGATTCTTCGAAATCAAATTGATGAAAATGATTAGTATAATATTAATGAAGAAATGTTTTTTAAGTGTAAACCTGCATTATCCGAGTCAAGTATGAATCATTCAAAAATAAAATCTCCAAACTTTAATCTCCGAACTTTGCCTCCAATAATTTAGTCCCTACATTTTGGATTTTTCTATTTTTTCGCTATTTTACATTCTTTTCTTCAAATCTTCATTAAACATAAAGTTTTTCCTACAAAATGCAATTTAATATAAATTAGGTAGAAATTAGTTCAAAAGACAATAAAAACTACACCCATCACTTAGTTGGTTTAAAATTAATGAAAAAAAAGGAAGTGAAAGAAATTGGTAATAATTTTGTGTAGGAAATGGTTTATTGGAAAAAAAAAAATTAAAATTAAAAAGTGAACATTATTTAGAAAATTGAAAATTGGTGGACACATTTTACTTTCCTTCTCTAAAGTGAGATCATTTAATTTCCTCTAATTTTTTTCTTGTTCAACATAATATTTCTGTTAATTTTTAAAACGAAGTTAAAAGATAGTGAGAAAAACTCAAACAAAATCAATAAGCCGACAACTATGTTAAAATAAAATGAAGTTGAAATAAGATGACTTTGTTGAAAATCATTTATGTAATTATATTAATATATATATGGGCTATATATATATATGGGCCGACTTAACAGCCGGCCCAGAAATTTAGTGCTCTGGGCTGGCTGTGGCCAAATAACAATCGGCCCAGATTCGGTTGTCAACAGTCGGATCTGGGCCGGCTGTGGCCCAAGTGACAGTCGGCCCAAATCTGTGAGTGAGAGCTTTCATTTTGATAAAGTTAGTGTATTTTTGAATTTTTTCAAGTAAAGTTATATTTTCACCTTTTTTTTTTTTAAATTCTATTTCCTAATCAAATGTCATTTTGAAATTACACAAGAATGAAAAGGTCATTTCCTCCTATTTCCTCAACAATATGTCTCCTGCACTAAATTAAACACACAAGCAAGCGGGCAGGGCGAAGACAGGGAAGCACCTTTAGGGAATATAGAGGAGCTTCGAACTAGTTCAACTCGTAAGTTCTAACATCAACAGACACAATTATAGTTGATATTTTCGTTGTAGTTAAATAGCAAGAACTGATTATTCCATCTCAATAATCAAGTCAAAGTCAACGAAAATCGAAAGAGGAATAGTCAATAACATAGACTAGTCAGCATTGTTCCTTTTATATTTCTCTCATTCACATTGATGATTGGGATGTCTAACCATATCATTTAAAACGATGGTACTAATAGGGACTGAGCAGGTACGTCAAAAATGCCAATCGCCATAATGATAATAGATCATGTCATTCATGACGCCAACTTTTGAGATTTTTTTTTTTTGGATAAAGTCATGTTTGATATCGATTAAAATTTAAATTTTAATTTAAATCAAAGTTAACAATTAATTTTAATAACATATTTAATAGAGTCTATAACTGTTTAACTTTTATTAAAATTTACTAAAATAATTGATTTTAATCTTCATCAAATAAGAGCAAAATCACATTAAATTTGATTTTTTTTTCTCTCTCTTACTCTTTTCCTCACACATTTTAACAAAATTTTAACCCTTCTAATTTTTTAAAATTTGTATATAATTTCTATACAAATTATCATATTTACTGCAAATCTTCATTTTCCAATCAAATTTTCAAGTAATTAGAACCTAAATTTTCATTTTCTCCTATCAAACTGTATACATAGAATGTGTCCGAACTCATTATATCCAATTTGACTTATATTTAACAAATTGTGTTTATTTGATTNGATCACTTCAATTGTTGTTTGTATCAACTACATTATAAGATTTATAAACGTAAATATGCACATTCTTGTGATGGACAAAATATTAATAAAATGAATCTTCGAAATCAAATTGATGAAAATGATTAGTAAAATATTAATGAAGAAATGTTTTTTAAGTGTAAACCTGTATTATCTCGAGTCAAGTATGAATCATTCAAAAATAAATGACAAAGTGACAGGTGCCCGTAACTGAAAATATCTAATCCGAAGGTTTGTATGAATTCAGTCCTAGTCAATATATGCATTCAAGATTCTGTTCTTGCCTCGTCCATTCTGCATAAACAAGAAAAACAAGAGAGAAAGAACTAGAACCATGAAGATTTCATATAAAGATTTTTCCTTACTTTTTGCCTTTACCTTTACCTTCACTCTATCCATTCACAAGATTTCCAGTGTAATCGATACTATAACTACTACACAGACCCTTAGAGATGGTGAGACCATTGTTTCATCAGACGGGACCTTTGAATTGGGATTTTTTAGCCCTGGAAATTCCAAGAATCGATACGTGGGTATGTGGTACAAGAAGACAACAGATATGACGGTGCTATGGGTTGCCAACAGAGAAGTTCCACTCACAAACAGATCAGGACTCTTGAAGGTTGTTCAGTCAGGACTTCTAGTACTGCTAAACGACAGTAATGGTGTCATCATATGGTCTTCTAACACATCACGACATGTGAAATCTCCGGTTGCAAAATTGCTGGACTCAGGAAACCTTGTAGTGAAAGATACAAATGATGATGACCCCGAGAATTTCCTTTGGGAGAGTTTTAATTATCCGACTGATACAATGTTCTCAGGAATGAAGTTAGGTTGTAACTTTAAAACTGGTCATGAAGTGTATCTATCATCATGGAAGAGCTATGATGATCCGTCTTCGGGAGAATTTACATTTCACTCTGATCCTACTGGTTATCCACAACAAGTTGAGAAAACAGGTTCGATGGTGATTTATAAAAGTGGACCTTGGAATGGACTCCACTATAGTGGGATGCCAAACTTGAGAAAAAATCCTATTTACAAATACGGAGTAGTTCTAAATAAAAACGAGGCTTACTATTATTTTGATCTCCTCGACAGATCAATTGATTTAGCATATACTTTAATAGAAAATGGTACTGTATTGACCATATGGGCTAATCGAACACAAGTGTGGGCGAATAGCAGTACTGTAAACATTTGTGACATGTATGGATATTGTGGTGCATATGGTAGTTGCAATATTGCTAATTCTCAGGTTTGCGAATGTCTAGATAAATTCTTGCCTAAAGATCCAGATGGTCGGAACGGGACAATTTTGTCGAATGGGTGCATTCGCAGAACTCCCTTGAATTGTTCGAATGGAGATGTATTTCTTATGTATTCTGGTATTAAGTTACCAGACACACGATATTCCAGATATAACGAGAGTATGACACTCGAAGAATGCAAGGTAGTGTGCTTAAAGAATTGCTCTTGTATGGCTTATACTAACTTAGATATCACAAACGGGGGAAGTGGATGCCTACTTTGGTTTGAAGAACTAATTAACATAAAAAATCTATCTGAAGATGGACAAGATATCTACATTAGAATGTCTTCTTCTGAATTAGGTAAGAATATGAACAAACTTGCTGTAGATTCGAAAGGAAAGAGAAGAAAAATATTGATAACGAGTTTGACATCATCGATGGGAGTTGTTCTGCTAGGCCTGAGCTTGATGCTGTATTTCTGGAAGAGGGAGAAGAATGTTCCAAAGGGAAGAACAGGAGGTAAGCAACCTCTGCTATTTCACGCTGAAGGAAATTAACGAAAATAACACCTACAACATAATGAACATCATGTACATGCATAGATACCTTTAAATAAGCTTGCAAAGTGCACACACGTCCCGACAGGGCAACAGCTTCTCTTTTCAACTAGTCTCAACTATAATATCCTCATATTACTCATGTTTCAGGAAGTATTAGCAAGGACTTTGAGCTGCCATTGATCGATTTACCTACAATTTCAAAGGCCACCAATAACTTCTCAATCAACAACAAGCTTGGGCAAGGTGGATATGGGGTTGTTTATAAGGTAAAATGTGCACAATCTTTACGTGGACAGTACCTTGAGAAAATTAGAGAAGAAGATGAACAAATGCTAAAAGTTATAAAATCCTGGTAACTTTAAATACTTTCATCACTCATAAAATCCTCGTGTTTTTCAACTATTGATCATTTTTTCTGAAATTATCCATATGTAGAACTCTATGAGAAATGCAGCACTGGAAAGAAGTTTTGTTAATATTCTTCTAAGACGTTTTGAAAAGATAATAAACGTTTTGTTTCAGCACAATATTCAAATATTTGCTTCTTTTGCTATAAGAGATGGTCTCCTCAAATTCAATTCACACGATATCAATGTTATCCTAGTAGATATTTTATCAGAGAGTAAAAGATTAATTTCAGCTTTGTACGTACATCCGTACCAATGTTCAAATATTCCTTCTCTTGTATAGCCTAAGAGACATGTTAAACTGGCGTAAAAGATGAATTCTGCAGACTAAAATCCAGTGCTATGTAAACTTTCATTAAAATGAGTACCTTCTCAAATGCACAAGTTATGGTCTTAGGGAACACTTGAAGACGGACAAGACATTGCTGTGAAAAGGTTGTCAGAAACATCCATGCAAGGACTCGAAGAATTCAAGAACGAAGTGCTTTGTATTGCCAAACTTCAGCATAGAAATCTTGTGAAGCTTCTTGGATTATGCATTCATGGAGAGGAAAAGATGTTGGTTTATGAATACATGCCAAATAAAAGCCTGGACTTTATTCTATTTGGTGAGAATGTCTTACAGTTACTTTACATTTATATTCTATTACCGGTATACGATGCCATAATAACGGTTTAACCAGTGGCTTGAATATGTAGAGATCTGAAGATCAATTCTAGTAAGCACAGAACCAAATTTACTCCTTTTGACCGACATACCTTTAGAATACAGTTTTTTGAAAGATCGAACACTATGGTATTAATTAGAATATTTTATTGCCAGATCAAACAAAAAGTAGGTTGCTAGATTGGTCCAAGCGCTTCCATATCATTAATGGTGTTGCTAGGGGGCTACTGTATCTTCATCAAGATTCTCGGATGAGAATTATCCATAGAGACCTCAAAGCTAGTAATATATTGCTAGATATTGACATGAATCCAAGGATATCAGATTTCGGCCTTGCTAGAAGTTTTGGAGGGAATGAGACTGGAGCTATGACTGGTCGGGTTGTGGGAACACAGTAAGAATCAATCTCTATGCAACAATATATCTAATGCATTTCCATTACGTATAAAATTATTTCTTGTTTACGCTTTCATGCAGCGGATACATGTCGCCTGAATATGTTGTGGAAGGCTTGTTTTCGTTAAAATCAGATGTATTTAGTTTCGGCGTTTTAGTGCTAGAAATTGTGAGTGGAAAGAAAAACTGGGGATTTTCTCATAGTGATCACAAACTCAACCTTCTTGGACATGTAAGTGTTTTTGTCTTACATGTATTGACTGTGTTGTATGTGAAAAAAATGTACAGCCTAATCCAATTTATACAGGCATGGATACTTTACAAAGAAGGAAGGTCACACGAACTAGTCGACACTTGTCCAGATGGTTCACAATACTTGAACGAAGTGCTAAGATCAATTCATGTTGGTCTGTTATGCGTGCAAAAATGTCCAGGAGATAGACCAAACATGTCTACAGTTGTTTTTATGTTGGGGAATGGAGGTGTGTTGCCTGAAGCTAAACAGCCTGGTTTTTTCACAGAAAGAGATGTATTTCCTGCTGAAAGTTCAACTAGCACAAATGCAGTCAACTCATCACACGAAATGACCATTACTCTGCCAGAAGGCAGATAGGAATAGTATTGTATACTTATATTACATTATTTATCCAATTCTCATTTCTTGCATTTCAAACGTTTTTCTTCTTCGTACATTTTTCCAGCCTCTGCAAAGGTTCTGTGTATATACCAGTATGCGTTGATTTCATTGTCGTGGGATCAGTTTTGAAGTTTCCATGTTTCCAAATCGACCATAAGGCAGTACCGATGACAGTTCTTATATGACTCAACCTGTATAATCAGATTTGGCTAAATTACTGCATTTGCATTACTAAGTATACACAATTTTTATGTATTATCTCCTTGCTTTTGTAGACTCTATACTCAGGGAGAATTAGGACTAGTTAGTATTTTTATACTATAAATGATATGAAATTTTACCCCTAACGTTCCCACGCAAGATGGTTGTTTGCTTGAACAGCACCAATATTGGAGACCATTTGAATTTTACGGAGACCGATTTGGTCCTTCAAACTTAACGAGCTTTGACACTATATTAAAACTTGAAGTTTCATCTAGATAAATCAGAGTAGCTCAGGCCCTTATATGGTGGTTAATATTTTTATACTTAATTGACATGATGTTTTACTTTCACGTAATAATAATTTACACAAATATTTGGAGAGCATTGCTGGATGTCTAAAAATTTAATTAGATGGCTTGCTCTATTCAACTCTGTTTCATCACAAACTAACAGAAATGTTTGCTTGGTCGCCAAAAAGAACGAACATGACTTTGTGCAGCTGTTTAAGTAGTTTTTGTAAATGTGACTTCGACACTGACAATTCCAGATGAGAGCAGCTAATTTGGAATTTACTTTGGTTGTTTACACTACACAAAAGCAAAACAAAATAAAATCAAATGTTGAGAATCGGACCAAATAATTAAAGACGAAAAAAATATGAACAATATGAAAATAATGGATCACCCCAACAATCAAGATTTATATAGAAGAAGAGGAGAATATATTACACCAAGGAACTAAAATTGTCTTTACAAGATTTGATTCTGTAATCTAAATCTAAATAATTCTCTCAAATTTCTAATGTAAACAACAATGATTTAATTGTCATATTGAGTCTATGAAGAGCCACACCATGTGGAGTATTTATGGGAGCCAAATTTTAGAGTTATGTATGAAGCAGAGTCCTTAATTCTAAAGTCATTATCTCAATCAAACTCTCAATCCATGATGGTATTTGATCTCTTGTCAAACCAAACTTCTAAACCAAAATTATCTAGACTTCTTCAATAAGTCAAACTTCCAAATCACATAGAATTTGAGCCACAAAACATAACAAACTCTACATTGACACAAATTCCATAGCAATGAATTAAATCTTCACTCTTCAAGTTATTCTCCAACTCTTCCATCATACCCCTCCGGACACCTCATGCCCTTGCCGAGCATACTTAGCAAATGTGAACTAAATCCAAGCCTCACTTACTAGCATAACTTCTTTGCGCGCCATCTTTGCTCGAATCATCTCGAACACTTCTAGCTCCAAATAAGTCAATAAACCTGCTCGAATCACCACGAGCAACACCAACTCCACTTGAGTTGTCAAACTTGCTCGAATCACCACGAGCAAAATGATCAACAAGATCATAACCAGATCCTCCTTATCTAGTGGAAGATTCTTCAATATTATTGTTCGAATCACTAGGAACAACCCAATCACAACCAAATTTACCCGAGTTATTGCTTATCGAACCATAAACTGTAGTTGCATCCATAGTGACCGCCGAAACTTCTAACACATGTAACCGAGACTTTCTCCGTCCCCTTGACATAGCCCGAGTACCCTTGCTAACTTTTAGAACTCCACCTCCACCGATATACCTACATCCTTTTGAATCAAGAATACTCAAAGAGATTACATTCCTGTTTATACTCGGAACATGTCGAACTTGGCCAAGTGTTCTAACCTTTCCATCAAACATCTTGATTTTGACATTACCAGTCCCAGCTATTTTATAAGGCTAATTATTTCTCATCATCACGGAACCCCTTGTAATTATTTCATATGAAGAAAACCAATTCCGATTTGAACACATACGAAAAATGCAAGCGAAATCAAGAATTCAGTCCTCGTCAGGTTTGGAATCACTTTCAGTAATCGCTAAAAGATCTCCGTCACTATCTTCTTCTGCAAGATTGATATTACCAGAATTTTCTGGTTGTTCCTTCTGATCTATAGTAGTAAACCATTTCGCCGCTCATAACAATTTGATGCAGGAGCATCCGAGTCAGACGAAGCTGAGTTGTCCGATAGCTCGTCGATGGAGCTAAGATACCATGGTTGGCGGATCAGCGTAAAAATGGCAAGTAATCGACGATCTTTCCTATTTGGGGCCCTTTTTTAGACACGTTTTAGTATTTTGGCCATAATTTTGGTTACAATTATTAGAATCGTGCCCATGACCCCAATTCGAAAAGCTCTTTTCAGCGCACACGTCGTGGTCACCGAGCTTCAGTGTACATCGGTTTCGAAGGAAAAATCCACTGTTTTCCCTTCCGAATCCCCAATTTTAGTTATTTGTTTTCCTTTTTTGGTAATATTTTGTTTACCTTTTAAACATAGATTACAAACTCAAATTAAAATTAAGCCAGATTTTTGGGATATTTTTTCTTTTATTACGTACTTTCTTTTGGTATGAACATTGAGATTTTGCTATTTTTTATAAAATTTTGCTAATTATGGTTTTTCAGCTATATAATCCAACTTGTGGGTTATTTTCGCACATTGGATGAATAATAAAAAAATTTCTCATTTTCTTGACGTTTTCTCTTGCATTCTTCTATGTTAATTATCTGCTAAATTTCATCCTGAAAAATAATCACTATTCTGCCCTGCGTCACAATCCCTCTTTATGTGCCCTTTATTTTTGCAATTCCAACTCTGAAATGATGACAACGATAGAAACACCATGCCCCTTCCATGACCACCTATTTTCCTCTCATGAACAAGAAACGCCTATGCGTGGACCTTAGAACCGATGACGAGATGCTTCGTCTTCTCCTTAGAATGAACAGCATCATATACATCGTCAATAGTAAGAGTATCTCGACTATAAAGAATGATATCTCCAAAATCACATACGAAGTGGCAAAGAACTAAAAAATATCAACCCTAAATCCTCTTCATCATATTTGACTTCCATGGTCTCCAGACGATTTCCTTGAACACCAATAGATGATCTTCCAAAAATCCATCTTCCGTCAAGCAATGAGGATACAAGTGCTGCTTCAAGTGTAACTTACTTATTAAACTCTTTAACAGACAAAGCTAATCCAATTTTAGCCACAACCTAGCGGCTCTTTTCTCTTTTACTACGTCCGAAAGAATTTGATTAGAAAGATGAAGATGTATTTGTGATAGGGCTTTTCGATCATTCTGCTGCTTCTCCTCCATATTCATTGTTGCTGACATTCTATATATTCCCAACAAAGTATCATCAAGATCTAATTGAGTAAGAATCGCTCGTATCTTGATCTGTCACAATAAAAATCTACTATTGTGATCCAAAAGCGAAATCTTAAATTTTATGGTTGTCATCACTGAAACAATCTGCCTAGTTCAAACCTCACTTTAATAACCAATTTGGACCTCATAAGAAATCGCCAAAAAACCTTGGCTCTGATACCACTTTGTTGAAAATCAGGCCAAATAATTAAAGACGAGAAAATATAGACAATATGAAAATAATGAATCATTCAACAACCAAGATTTATGTGGAAGAATTGTCTTTACAAAATTTGGAAACAATTCTTTCAAATTTCCACTTTATACAACAATGATCTAATAAAATTATCTGACTTCCTCCATGAATCAAAATTCCAAATCACATGAAATTTGAGTTACAAAACATAACACCAAAGTTAATAATTTAAAAAAAAAATTGCTGCTGGGACCTAAACGTTTGTAAATAAATGGGTTTCAAACGTTTCATTTTTTGCACTGCCATCCCAAACGTTAGGTAAAATATGCAACGATGATGTTGGGCAAGGCTTGTGTACCTGTCCTTAATCAACTAGGACAATAATGACTTATGATTGCTCTTAAGTTCATGTTCAGTAAACACCAGGGTACGATGGTGAGTTTGTCACATCAGGTTTCATATTTGTAAGAAATTTTTGTTGGTTGCTAATTTGAACAACGCTTTATGTTTGCAGCTTATTGATTCCAGAAATCGCGTCCGATTATTGATTTCAAAAACAACTCCACTAGAGAATTGAGATTGTATTTGTTAGTTGCACATTTATTTCATTAACTATAAATTAATTTTTTGGTCTCAACTACTCACTCAAAATTAACCGTTTCTTCAATACTATTGTCTAAAAGGTGATGTATTTTTCAAGCATTCCTCTATTAAAATACCAGATACACGGAATTCTTGGTTTAATGAAAGTATGACGCTTGACAAATGCGAGTCAGTATGCTTGAGAAATTGCTCACAGCTTACACAAACTTAGATATAAGCAGAGGAAGTAGATGCTTGCTCTGATGATTTACATGCCATATGTAACGCCGCGCTCTTATTTCTCGTGATTATCATGTCTATGTGGATTACTTGCATTAATGTTACATTTATTGCTTAATTTTAATATAATTGTTTTCATTTGAATAACTATACAACGGCATGTGCTTGGGTGGCTTCGACAACGACGTGTTTATTAATTAAGTTAAATGTGTAGTAAGTATAAATTAAATTATACTATAGATATATTCTATTGTGCAATCTTCCTTTAGAATTTGTAGGGTGTCCTCAATTGAGATCGTGATGCTAAATTTAGGTATCCTCAATTTAGATATCGAATTAGAATAATTTCTTCCTCAATAAATATATTTTTCAGAAATATAATTCAAATATTATGATTGGACAACATAATGGAAATTTAATAAATCAATGTGACCAATTTACTTAAATAAGTTAATAGGAATAAATTAGGGTTCCCAATAGTTAACTAATAGAAATCATACCTAATTACCAAAGACGTGACGTGCCTGCTTC